ATTGTAAATGCTTCCTTTGATAATAACCTATGCTTTCGGAAGTCGTTTTTCAACGAAAACTTTTACAGTAAAAAAAATGTTTCTCTGTAGGATTTAAAAAATTGTATTTATTGTTTAGGTAACTAAAATAAAACCGGATGAACAATGGTTGAACCGGATGAACTATGTACAATGGTTCTCGGGGTGTTTAACCATCCTAACCACCTTATGAATCTCTGAAAATCGAAACAGGTATTCAAGCACCTCCTTAGACCTTAATTGTATGATACTCGACATTGCGCACAGTTTTTTTAACCTGGCCGTATCTGATTGATGAGTCATTAACGGTTTTTTAAAACCGGCCCAACATTATAATATTAAAATAAAAATCAATGATAAATTGACGCTAAACGATAGTACCTGAATTCATATACCTATTTCTCGTTTCGATTGAGTAGTTGTAGCTGTATAAACTGTAGGTATGTATAGTATAACATAAGATACAAGTATAAAAGAGTTGTTAATTGTACATTACCAAGGTTTTGTAAATGCTAATGCAAATGTATTATGTACTGCATAATTATTATGCACTGAATGATCAGTCATACGTATAGGCAATTTCCTCCGGCAATTAGTATCGAACACAAACACACAGATTTGTAAACACAGATACACTGTTGATGGAAAAGGTTTAATCGTAGGCGGTACGTGGGAAATTGTTCGCACTTATAGGAACAGAAATACACAGGTACAATATATTAAAATATGTACCCACTTATACTCCATCGAAACATAATATATTAATAATTGTATGACGTATGGAAATATTATAAGCAGCCGTTCGGATTCGCTCATTTCAATATCCAACTCGTGTATTTGTGCGAGTCAAACAAAATAGAGATTACTTACTTTGGAACGGTTAGGTTAGTACCTCTACACTAGCTGTCTCTCTTTTGCTGACTAAAAATGTAAAACATAATGAATATATACATACATATTTATATGTACCGTCGGCGTCGCAATTAAGGGCAAACTGTATACGCACACATGACTATATATTTATAAATGCATTTATCGTTTGTTAATGTGCGGACGTTAAGTCTAATTTATGATAATTATAATCTAGAATCGATGGACTGTGTGGATGAAAATGCACCATTACCGTGTACAATTAATCCACGTCGTTGGTATGATATAAAAAACCATGTACAGTGTGTCAAATGTCTACGCTAGAACGCTTGATTGTAATTGGAACGTGTGAACTTAAACTTAAAATATATGTGTCTATAATATAACGTTATATACACCCATGATTAAAGTGCGTAAATACTTAAAACATAATTATTGAATAGGTAGGTATTATATTATATTATAATACCTACCTATATTATAATGTTTTTATTGCTTTGTTATCAGTGTTTTATAACGCACTATTACAGTAAAATACTTGTTAAAAATAAGCTGCTAGCCTAAAAATAGAAACGTTCATTTGATTTGTCACTTAAAAATAAAACTCATTGGTAAAAATAAAAAGATAGAATCGTGAGTATGATCTTGGATAACAATAATTTATGGGTGCTTAATTTATTTTTTTAGTGTTTTCGGTAGACTATAAAACTATTTAATGCATATGTATATTATTATAAAGTTTTTGAAGTTTTAAATTTTATGGCAGGAGGGAAGGTGGAGTGTAGTATTATTTTTATCTGTGTGCACTTTCCAACCGTACTTAACCCCATTCTAACATTTAAACTCTTGTAACTTTAAAAATAGTTGCCCAAAACTGGTCATCAACCAGTCAAAGTGTTATGTACATTATTCCCAATTTATAAAGTTATTGAAATATATGCGTTACCATTTATGTTTCGAAAATTGCTATAAAAAAAAACAAGTTGGAAGGGAGTAAGAACAAAAAAAAAATGTGAAAATTGAGATCACATTATATAAAATTTAATTTCTTATTAAACCCTATGAGATATTGAAAGACCCATTATAAAAGAATCTCCCAGTATAAAGCTAAATAGTTCTAATTGACACACAGTATAAGCATTAAGAAATAATTTTAACAAAAAAAAAAAATGCATTTTATAATTTATCTAAGTAGATTGGACGATCCGCAGACTGGGCGTTGAGAATTATCGAAGCTAATATTCAGTTAACTGTATTAACACAATGCATTCCATTGAACATAAGTAGGTTGTTAACTAAAGTTGTAACAAAGATTAGCTGAGAAGGACCTGAGAAAAGAAGAATAATAAGGCAAAAATCAACTACTTCAGCTGTTCTAAAAGGTGGGAGTTGAGTGTCTATTTAGTTATCCAGACGTTTTACGCAATGGTCCACGAGAAAAATATATCCTTAAACATTATTAATGAATAGTGACACGCTATATTATTGGGCAAGAATGTTACAATAGATTGGTTAAATTTAAAGGAGACCCTTTCTCGGAATATTGGTAGTGGCAGGTGTTATTGACAAAACGAATAAAAAAACTAAATTCGACAAAACGACGTAACCTCAGAATGGCATTTTGACGCCAAGAAACATATTAGTTTATATTTATTATGGTTTGGCTTTTCCCATGCATGTTAAGATCGTCACTTCGCGGTGTAGCCGAACGATTTTAATTACTTTTAGATTTGCACCAAATTATAATAAAATATTCGATTGATACGTGCCGCAGTGTCGAGATTAATTTGTTTCTTAACCCATCGAAATGCCTCGAGCAATGTTTTATTTTTTATTTATAAAAATATTAATTTGTGCGCGTTGGACACCCGTTGGCGAGTCGGGGATAACGTATTGCTGAGCAGCATTGAGAACGTATTCAATTAAAAAACCATTATTGTGCATCCGTGTCTAGTCTATTATTATAGTATTATATATATATATATATTTGTACAACTAAAGTTAATCGGGTGCATAGATCAGAAAAGAAATGAGTTCGATAAAAACTAATATTTTTTAACATCTACTGCACTAATTGAGTTTGTATAAGAAAAAGAATGCGCTTAAACTGCCAGAGCTTCCTAAATACATGCATATTCGTGTATTATTACTATGAAGCCCGAAGCAACATTGCGCTCGACGTTTATTACTCATAGAAAACAGATTTATATTACTTAACGTGTTACACATACCTACTTTAATATAAACTATTATAGGCGTGACCGTCGATTAAATTAATTTATTTCTATGTAATGATTGGGTAAAAAATAAAAAATGAATAATGTATATACTGATGAAAAATCATTTTTTAAAGTAATAATCGATATCGGGTGGCCGTGTTACTATTAAGGTGTTATTATATACATAATGTTAAGACAATCTATCTTAGGATTATAAATGGGTTTACTTAGCTACTACCGGTACTACGTACGCCAAATACACTATATTATAATAATTACCCGAGTTGATAAACGAGAAGAGAATACAAAATATGTATTAAACTCAAAACTGTTTACTCGATGTTTTGGCCAAATGGGATTAGTCAAAATAACAATTGTGTATCTTTGGGATGAAAACTTATGATATCTGTGCATAAGCTATGTTTTATATCGTTGTTAAAAGCTGAAGTTAAACGTTAATGAATACTTGTTTAGCGAAAAACAATGTTTATAATTTTAGATTTAAATTTAACATCTCAGGTGTTATTTTGTTAGCCTAAAATGATAAAATTAAGTACTGAATGAGACTGACTGGGAAGAAGGTTAATAAGAGTTTAAGGAAAAAACTGCGCGTTTTACTTAGTGTTACAATGTAAATAACATTCGAACGGCTCACCTTGACATTTGCTTAAAAATTCACAAAAATACATTACCAAAAAAAAAAAATCTTAATTTTTGTCTTTTTTTATTACGTCGTTTTATATTAAGTTTATGTATTTTCTTAATTCAACTCACATTTATTTATTAATAAAAAAAAAAAAGAAGCCATACTTGTTAAAATATAAACCGACTTGAAAAACATAATATAATTATATTCAGGAATATTTGTTAAACGAAGACTAGAGGTTTAAAAGCTGCAATAAACATTTTGAAACACACGAAAAGTGTATAATATGCATACTTGTACTATAGATAGAGAATATAGGTAGAGAATATTTTATCGATTTTTTTTGACACAAATTAGGGAAGGTAAATCATTCTTAATTTGCGTAGTTTGTAATAGGTGATAAATTATTGTAAGTATATATCCAAAAAGACAAGTGTTCTTAGTCTAAATATTTATATTACAAACGTCACACATATTTACCTAAAGATCATAATTTGTATTACTCTATCATTATCATACACGAAAACATACCTACATATTTACAATATTAAACAAATTTATATTTTTTTTATACAAATTATTTACAAGCTCATCTTTTGTCATTTTGTACACTTTATAAAAAAATATAAACATTTATTACTGTACAATTTAATACTCGTTCGGAATAAAAAAACATTGTAAAAATGATTTGATTATGATAAATTAGGTAGATAGGTATCATTAATTTTTTCGACACAAATGCAAAAATATATATATATATGCAATACACATGCTATTATGATTTATGTACAAGTAAGTAAAAAAAATAAATATAAAAACGCTTGTGTCATACCTATTCAATGTCAATAAGTACTAAGGGTTTAAAAAACATAATTATCAATACATGTTATAAAAAAAAATCGCAAAAGTACAAAAATATATATAAAAAAGTAAAATGTCTTCGTTTTAACTTCTATTTGCATATATTATTGCTATGTTACACAACAATTTTTAGAAATACTTACATAAATAAGTGAACCTTCGAGCTTCGTTTTTAACCGTATTAACTTAACCAAAGTATTTATCTAAATAATATACAAATTTTATAACACACGAAATATTTTAGAATTTAAAAAAAAAATTGAGCAACGATAAAGCATTGTGCATTAAAGTGTCACATACTGTATACTACTGAAATAGATATTTAAAAAAAATTACATTTTAAGTTTTTTGATTGCTTTAAATTTGTAGAATAATTATGTCCGGGAAAAAACATTTTTCTATTTGGCAATATTTTTCATTAACTCGGTTATTTGTTCTTCGCTGGGGAAATAATAATTCAAATATAAATTCATAGTAAACACACATGGTTTGACAATTGCGCTTTCGAATATTTTCTTTATTTTTTCCCTGTAAAAATATAATAGGTAACATAATTATTTTATATTCAAAGTAAAATATTAGTTAGTTTTCGCGTAAGTAAAAACTAACTTGATTCTCTTCCATTTTTCGTCGGCTATGTTCTTTTTTTGACATCTGTTCTCGTATTGCGTAAATATGTCATCGACTACTTTGGACATGACGTCGAGTTTGCTTTGGAGTTTGTTAAAAACCTATGCAAACAAATAAAGCGCACAATATATACACACCGCTATTGTGCATAATAAGGACCGGGCAATATAATATATTATGAGATAATTACGAAATTCACCTGTTTCATGTACAATTGTATATCGTTCAAGTACATCTTATCGTTTTCTTCCAGCAACAAATACGCCAAGTCGTCGAATTTCCTTTTCATATTCGACAGGTATTGCATTGGCACCGTGAGCGCGTCCAGAACCGTACATTGATCTCCCCCAAGCGCATACGTGGTGTTGATGAACTCGCCCTCTTTGATTTTGTTCTTTTTCCTGTAACAACAATAAGAAAACCCCAAACGAAATGTAACCACTGGTATTGTAGGCGGAGTTTATCAAATTTATGAGGGGGTTTTTTTTCTCAATTTTTTACTCACATGACTCGAGCCAAAATTTTCAACACTGACACCGCGTGGTGCGCGTACAGCTGATAGTGTTTGTACTGAGTCATAACGTGTTCTCGCATCACTTTCAACAGATCCCTCATGAGCACGTTGGCTTTCCACAGGGTCGCCAGTCTCTTGACCACCGCGTTCGATGCAGCGACCACTGTAAGACCAAACAGTGTTTTCCCTGTTAACCGTTGAACATAATATATGTATGTATCCGAGAGGTTACTGACTTTGGACGAGGGTCAGCAGCAGCTTCTTGCGGGTAGCCTTGTCCACTTTGAGCTCGCACGTGATCAGGTCCATGACGATCGGGATGCAATCGCTGAGCATGCCGGAGCTGACTATCTCTTCTTTGAGTATCTCGAATTTCTTGGCGTACACCGCAAGCTTACCGGTAGCCACGCTGCCTATATCGGGTGCACCACCTAATCGAGTAAGCAAAATTGGTAGCCATAAGTACGGTATTGGTATGGTATTGGTAGCCATAGGTTATACATTAAAATATATACTAACCGATCGGCAGTTTGCCGGTTTTGATTTCTCCTCGGTCCATCCACGGTCTCCCCGGTCTGTTCATCATCGCACGACTTACTCCTCGAGTGTGGCGCAAACAAAAAATAAAACAATTTCTCTTGCCAAAACCGAGCGCGAAACAAAAAAAATCAAAACACTATTTTTATCCGGACAATCGTCTTTGAGTTTAACTTTGGTTTGGAATCGTCCGCCTAGGAACACTTTGGACATGCCCACGGCAACGGCGACGGTGCTCGTAGCGGACTTAGCGGTGCTGGAAAGACGTTCGGACGATCGACGAAATCGACTGATACTGCCGAGCGTTTTCCGAGACGCCTTTTACCGTTTGAACGATCATAAAAAAAAAAAAAAAAGACGATTTCGTCATCTCGATCTTTGGATGGACCGTATCAGTTAGGCTGAGGAATGTAATCGTTCGGAGGACTCGGGTAATGCGCAGTTTATGTGCTAGACAAAAACGAAATTCTCCGCTATTTTTATCGTCCTGTGTATGTGTGTGTGTGTGTGTGTGTGTCAAACAAAACCAACGTGGGAAACGAGACTTGTGTTTGCTTTAGATAATATCAAAAACGTAATAACGGCGGAACACCTCGTTTACACTGTATTATTATTGTTTTTAATTTTGAAAACGCCACCGCGACGTCGAGTTTCTCTGCGGTTATTGATCCGCGTACGGATTTCGCTCTCGATCCTGAGTGCAGTCCTGAAGAGAAACCGGTACATAGGTGTATACTGTAATATGGCAGTAGAAATTTTCGACCAGGCTTCACCGTCGCAATAATTTATTGTATATTTTTCTATTGCTAAACAGCTATTCGACCGAACCTACAACGGTCCCGCCGAATATAATAATAATTACTATCTATGCTATATTATATGCTACTGCAGTTTACCAATTCCGTCCGTTCAATGACGTCGATACCGAAAAGTAATGAACTGTCAATGTAAATGACATATTATAGGTACCGCCGTTTCACAACGTGCTGCTACCACGCTACCTATCGTTATCGCTTGTTCCGGCCTGTGTTAACCGCCATTATACCGAAAACAAACACCGAGTTATCTATCAGCAGCTCTAGGCCGTTCAAACAACTGCATCCGACCGTGACATAACTGTATCACGTGTGCCGACGACTTGTAGTAAATAAACAATACGGCAATAATTGCCATTGTTGTGTGTCAGACACAACTGCGCAGATTCGTGTAAGTGATGTAACCGTTCCGGTCTGGGTGAGTAACCCGCTAACCGAGCATAGTTCCAATTATTTAAACGGCACGAATCGAACGACAAAAAAATGTCAGCAATATTGTAAAAGGTAAAAGTCTGAAACATGTTTTTGTGTATTCGTCCGACGAGCAGGCCAAAAATAATTATTATCGTTTGATACGCAAAACACACAAATATTTTGTTTACAAAATATCACTAACGGCGGAAGTGTGAGACAACGACCAGTCTCGTTTGTAAGCCACAAAATAATACATAGGTTACACGTTTTCTCCGGTTAATGTAATCATAATAACATTTTAACGTGTGAAATATGTACATATTTTTGTTTTTTTTGGGGGGTTTTATCAATAGTATTTTGAATTTTTATCGTTATACTATTTTTAGTTAATTTACACACCTCGTGTAAATGATTGAAAGTCGATTAGATTATGTGTATCGTTTAATTATTTTATTGTTAAACAACAACAATAGAACAGATTACAGAGCTCTTAATAATTTCCGATATGAGTATTCTAATAATAATATAGTCATAAGTGGTATAATAATAATAATACAAATATAAACATTTTATAGTGTAATGTGTAAACATCTAATTTCTTTATAGTGTGTGCATCGTATGTTGACATATTATGCTTTAGTAAAAGTAAAACGATTTCGGTTTAAAAGTAATTCCTATCAATAAAAGTCCGAGGTTCTCATCAAAGATTAACTTAAATACTAACAAGTCAAAATAATATTGATCAAATATTTTGGTAGGTTTTAAAATGGTAGGGATTAATATAGTTTTAAGCGTGCATCCATTAAATTATACTGATTCCATTATTATTTCCAAACTATTTTTGTTAACCAAATAGATTTAACCTGGTGCTTATAAACGATAATATGTAAACGATCCAAGGATTATACCACAGTAAGTTTATAAGGTTATCGGTTGTTACAAAATTAAGTTTGTTTTTTCCAAAATATCTGCTAAGGATAGGATCACGATTCTCAGTGCAATTATTCGCTGCTGGTTAAAAGTGCACAATTTCTAATCAAAGGAGGATGTAAATGAAAGCAGATTCGTGGGCGGAAGAATCCGTATAATGTAACACCTTTTATGTTGTAAACCCAAAATATGTTTTCTAGACTCCACGTCGAATTTTGAAACTAGTAACTACTATCATCAAGTTTTGTCACTCAAAACAAAGGTTGTCGTACCAAGCGATTGTTTAATTACATATATTATTACAAGTAAATTCGATGGAATAACAAATTCGAATTTACTATGTTGAGTGCATATTATGTGGAGTAGGTAGAAGACGTTTTGTGACTTTCGACCGTTCATAACTATTAGTTGAGTTATTAAGAAAATTCGCAGAATATAGTACCTACGGGTTCAAAGTTAAAAAATTAAAAACTGATTCTAAAATTTCTATTAATAGTTATAAAATAAATATAATAGTTATTCAATCAAATTTTATCGAATACAATGGAGTGATGAGAACGTTTTAAAATCATTCTACACAACATAAAATATTTAAAATGATAATACACCGAAAGGTGGCCTCTTTTTAGAGGGTCATTTTTTTCAGGGATTGGCCAAATTTTAATGGCAAACAATTGACGCATTTATTGGCATATTGTTTGTTACAGCTACATGTATTGAAAATTTGAATGTCCTCCGTTAGCCATAAAAGCTGCGACTAATTTTGATCTTGTTCGGAAATCATTTCTTTTAAAGTGTTTAATCAAACATAAAATTAAAAACACCTCACTAATCAGCAACCTTGCATGGTCGTTACTCGTTGAGTTATTAAAGCCATTATCTCATTAACAATATTGTAGAACATAGAAGTATGTATCTTATAGGTTATATTATGTGGTATTTAGTCCAGCGCTAAATGTCATTTGTACTCCTTTAATATCCAATTAACAAGATTATGCTATTGTGAAATAGTTGTAAAATACAATTGAATGAACTACGCATTATAGTTTAATTTATCACCACTGAGTATCGCAGAAGTCAAAGTCTTTTGGCGTTGTTTTGATAGCGGCCACATAATCACTCAAATGCGGTCGAATAACCGATCTGTTTTATTATTGTTGACAAGCGAAAACAATATTTATAATTTCATCTAAAAATAAAAACAATTTAAAATAAATTACAATGATTATAAGTTGTGTTTAATTCGATGATCTATATTTACATTTTGTCGCACACCAAAAAAAAAAAATTAAACATTACTAATGAGCGCGCGTTATTTATCTAAAAAAAACTATTATTAAATTATTAACGACTTCAACACTATAAGATATCAGAAATTATAATTGTTCATCGTTTGTCAACTATGATGTATAATCACACGGCACACTGTATTTGATGTGTTTTAATTATGAATTGGAATCCGAAAATCCGGATTTTTCAAAAAAAACTATTTGAGCCACTTAAAAATCTGTTTAGTATTAAATATTATTACAATATAAAGCTGTATACCTAAGTAACATTTTTTATTGCGTCTGTAAAATAGCTAAGTATTAAAAAATATAAGTGGGTATATACCATAAACATAATTTTGAATTATGGACACACTCAATTTCTAGTTAGTCCCACTAAATGTATAGTTGCTTTAACTAAAAATTTATTTGGCCCAACTACTCATTTAGTTGTCCCAACTAGAAATTGTGTCGCTATTTTTAACAAAAATTTTAGTTGGGTCAATTATGTATTTTTTCCTTGTAATAATGACGGTGCCGTTAAATTTTTAAATGAATAAGACGTCTATTTTTACCAGAAACTCGATTTATGACGTATCACAACTCAATACAGTTTAGAGGTCATACACCAGCCGGGTATAATCACATTAATATATAATAAATGCTGTTTACAGATGTGTCATCTGCATAAAAATGTAATTATTTTAAATGAATTTTAATAGCCACAGCTTATAGTATAAAGCGATATAATCAGCTTTTCACTTGCCGCTAAATTAATAAATTTATACTTGGAGGGAAGTAATGAACAATAGTAGGTATATAGGAAATAGTGAACATTTTCAGATTTCATTAATCTGAATTGCGAACACAAAATTGCTGATTTAAATAAAGAAAAATATAATTGTATAGTCTTATAAGTTCTAAATTCAATGTAATTAATAAATATATCCAACAATTTAATGAAAATATACTAATTACACAAAACCAAATTCAAAATGGCCTACCTATTCTGGATTTCGAACTTTTGGAATTCAACGAACCGCAAAATCCGTAAGCGATATAAATTTTCGATTTTGTTCTACTCCAATAACATAAAGTATTAAAAATTAATTTAAACAATAACTAATGCATAACATTTTTTCGTGATCAAGAAAATAGTGTTAAAACCATTAACCATCTATCTGTTATATTAGTAGCGGTTTTCACCGCCTTGCGCCTTCTTCTCAATACGGTTCTCCTAGTTTAAAGTTTCGAACAAACTAAATTAATATATACATATATGTCTCATATTTTATTGATACACATTATTCTAAAAACTTACTTAAAGTTTTACGATATGCCGTCTAGTATAAATGATTAATCACATAAATATTCAAATATTTGTATTTTTACATCATATATTATAAATCAATAAGTGTTTTTTAATTGACACGTGCGTTTAAAACAAGATAACAGGAACCGAACATCCACTTAGTACCTAAATATACACCTATATAACGTCAGCTGCTCATACGCACTAACAGGATTTTATCGCGATACCGACAAATTAATAAATTAGGAGATACACTAAAACTGATATAATTATAGTGCTCGTAATTAGGTACGAGTATAGTCTGGAA